TTTGCCTAAGCTACCTAACACAAACACAGAATAATCTATACATTTGTGTAGCAGGCCAGGTCAGAGTCCGGAGACAGCACTGCTTCTTGGTGTCAGTCTCCGGAAATATGAGTGAGCATAATACCAATTTTGTTTTGTATTAGTTATGTTCTATAAATCATCTGCCACATTGATGGGACAGTGTTGGGTAGTTTCTGTTGCTATTTTTCCTTTTTTCCTTCATTTCAACCCTTGTGATTCTGCTGTTTCACCCTCTTTTTCTATATGCATTTGAGACTAGAAAAGGTGAACCATTTTTAGCTACAATATCAACAGCTGTTTGACAGTGATTCTACAAAAAGTTTTCTTCTGAACCAGCAAGCATCACTTTTGTGCTTTTTAAGTGAAGATAGAAACTTTAGATGGAAGCAATATATTTCCTTTTTGAAGGTCAAGAAGCACAAAACTAGGAGATGTGATAGGGTTCTTCCTTTGTCTGTGCAATCTCTGCCTGTCATTGTCACCTTGTCCCCTACTTTGTTCACTGTTCATGCGTATGTAGCCCTCTCAACAGTTCTTTGGGACATCCTGTGGTATTGCGTTCCCAGAAATGCTACTAACTTGGGTTGCTGTTTGCCAGCTGTATTTAGGTATAGTATAGACTTTTGTTAGCTTTTTAGATATCAGGTATGCTGCTTATTGATATGTCTCTTATGTAGCCTTTCTTGTCCAGCCGTGTAGCTAAAATTCTTGCCAGGCTCTCATTTCCTGTCTTGATGACTCCAATATCTTTTTCCTCATGCCTTGCCTCATGTAGCCTGACCCCATTTGTGGCTATTCACAATGTTTCTGTTAAAATTGTTCTCCCAGCCCCTTGACAGCTTCTCCTTGAATTTTCCTACAGCTTCCCTATTCAATTCCACATCAAACAGACCCTGCTTGTCTTCACTGCAAAACTACAAATTATTTCTCTTCTACTAGCTGTGATAGATGTTGGATAGATTTTACACTGTTAGAATTTTCTGACAAGAGCTTCCCCCCCCCCCCCAAAAAAAAAAAAAAAAAAAGGTATCTCTTCACAACACTTCTTTAAACCAGCTGTTGCTAAAGGAAACTCTTGTGAAAAACAGGCTTCTGTTCAGCTGCATCTACAGCTTTTCCTGAGCATTGAAATAGTTTCTTGTGTAGTCGTTACTCTAAAGTCTTTAGGAGAGGGCTCTTTTTCTTACTCTACATTTAAACAGCAGCTGGTTCAAAGATGTCCCAATCCCAGACTAGCCTTCCTAGAGAGCAGCTTTATAAATAAATCCTTTGGAAACTTTCAGCAGTACCGAGTTAGCAATGTGCTCTCTGAATCCTGTTCTTGAAGGCACAGCAATAAAAGGTTAGTAGCAGCAGTAGTTACAGTGGTAGTTAAATACCTACACCTTTTAAATACAGATATTCTTCCCCCTTTATTCACATGAGTTTAAATATGGTCCAACTTCTAAATAAGCAAGGGTGGTCAGATGCTCAGAACCACTGATGCCATGTGGAATTGTTCTGGTTCTTTGGTATTTGTTTACTTAGATTTTTTTATTTTTTTTTTGGTCAGTTTGAAGTTTATTTTGTGTTCTATTGAAATTCCATGTGATGTACTTGTCTATTCATACCAGAAATACTGATAGTAAAAGCTCAGTTTCCCAGAAAATGATTCAGGTCAAATACTTATATGGTGTCTCCTGTACTGTGCAATAACAGCATTGTATGTAGCATTTTTTAGAGATGAGGCACTTTGTATGTGCCAGACTTGCATCGTCTGGAAAATTCTGAATTTTCCTGTGTTTCATTACATTACTGTTTTTTCATTTTTCTGTTAAAGGTATAAAATACTTGCTCTGGCTTGATGTGCTCCTCCCTATGCTTTCAATAAAAATTATGTTTGTGTAGAAAATGTCAGCTTTTCTACAGTACAGCTAATCTGAGTTTTATTCTTCTATTGTATTCCTTGATTAATATTCCAAATCCCTAACCAAATCAGTTATTCACAAATATTGCTTGCATTAGTAAACTAGCACCAACGAGTCCATCTGATGTCTTCAGTAACTATTTATTACTAATCTGTTTACTTGGCATTTTTTTCTAAAATATAATGTTTCTAATCATCTAGTATCTGGTCATATATGAAAATTGTTGAATTTGCATATTTATTCATAATAAGAAGCAACCCAAAATAAGTTCCTGCTCTATACTGATTGCACGTAGTTCCTTAAATAGCCGTATATTCCTAGATCCAAAACAGATATGGTTAGAGACACTTTTTCACCTAGCAAAATCCACAGCTTCAAGTTACCTATACAAGCTGGAGGGGTAGAGCAGAAAAGAAGTAGACATTGAAGTGTAGTCTCACACTCAGACTTGCCTCACACAGGATGAGGACCAAGATCACCAGTTACCACATCACACTTTCTAATTCATGCAATTTTCAGCTGACTAATTTAATGAATAATGCTAATGATAAGCAAGGTGGAGCAGATTTTAGGTATGGGGAACTTAGAGTCTCTCTTTGACAAGTTAGTATTTAGGAAAAATGAAGGTGTTTCCTTGGGATTCATGTGCTACTGTAGTTGGGGTATGTTTTCCTTCTTGGGTTCCCACTAAGAACAGCTATATTGTTTGGTACTGTATTGATGTTTAATAGCACTATAGTTAGGAGCTCAAGTATCCAGATGAGATTTGACTTTTAAATATACATTGGAAAAGTCACAATTCATTATTAACTATTACTCTAATGAGATTTGTTGTTAACATTTCTCATAGATAAATTGCTTTATTATTTAAATTTGACTATACTAGACTGTGTCACCTAAATAATCTCGGTCAGTGAATAAATGATAAAGCCAGGCTGGCATTTTTTATTAATAAAAAATAACAAGCTGGAATACACAGTGCTAGAGCCTGATCTCATTTTTAGCACTCTAAAATGCATGGTAACTACTGTGATTTAGGTGGAATTTGTCTTTGTTCTAACCCATGAAACTGAGAAAAGGATCTGATTTCATATTGAGCATAACTAAAGCAATTTTATTTTAAATGTAAATTTAATAAAAATAAATAAATAAACACATGACATGCTCAGCTTGTGATATTTCTAAAGAAATACAATCAGTTAAATTTGAGACTATTAATTAGATGTGTGAGTCTATCTTGTGTTATGAAGAATTTATTAAACGATTTTCCCTAGAGCAAACTCTCAGCTGGTATGAACTGCTATAGTCCCATTAATTTTACAAACATCAGAGAATTTACACCAGTTCAGAACTGCCCTTTGATTTACACTTTTCAAAATAGCCTCTAAGATGAACTTTTTTGTGTAGTTTGCAGAGGATGACAAGAAACTGAATTTGGAGATGAGTAGAAAGTGACAATCGAAAATGAAAGAACTTAATTCTGTTTCAAAGTAATTTTAAGACATTTTAAAGTTATATGAGGTTAAGTAGGCTTTTTTGCATTTTGTGTGGCTGTGTCCATTAAGAAATTACTCTCATAAATGATGATTAATGATCACTTTGAATAATGTATTGCCTTCATTAAAAATCTACAGCTTTTGAAGATAAACCAATGTGTTTGAAAAATTAATTCACAATGTGAAATGATTTTTGTATGTGTTTTCATATGTGCTCAGTGGTGCAAATACAGGTTCTTGAGGTTTATTTAAACCAGCAGTATCTCACATAATCCAAATCTTTGCCTGTACTTAGTTGGTTTTATATTCAAAAAATCAGACTTTTGCCACTGTAGCATTATCAAAATGGATTAAATATCTCTCAAATTAAAAAAAGAATACTAAGACAAAGAGAAGCTTAACCTCTCACTGATTAGCACCATTGTTTAGCCTGGGTAGCTGATCAACTACCCAACTACATCAACTAGGTAGCTGATGTAAATACATGCATATATATTTCCAACCGTCAGGAAATTCTGTGGTGACCTATCTGTTTCCCTCTTAATTCAACAGGTTTAGTATACTACAGCTAAAATATACAGTTTGGTGAAGTACTGAAAACAACTTGTAATTAACCTTCAGGCTGTTTGTTGTGTTTTTTTTTTTTGTGGTGGTTTTGTTTTTGGTTTTTTTGGTTGGTTGTTTAGTTGTTTTTTTGAGCACTTATCTATCACTCAGATCTGTATTTATGTGACTTCAAAAACTTCGAAGGAATACAGCAGAGGACAAAAAATAGCTGAATATGTGGATGCGTGTTACTCTGTTTAAATAATTTTTTAAAATGTGTAGATACAAGTGTACAGCTGTGAACTTGTGTGTTGTTTGTGGAAAAGGTATTGAATGGAATTTTTTTACTATTAATTGGATTGGAATTGCATGAATTTTTTTAAAAATCTACTATAGGTTGTAACAGCAAGCAAATTCATTTTTTCAAGATATTTCAAGAATCTTCTTAGAATACACATCCCTGATATTATTACCTAGTTATTTAACCAATAATTCTCTGAAATTACTGAAGATTTATCAGTGCATTTTAAAGTGTGACCTTGTTGCCTCACTGTCATTTTGAGTTGTTCAGTGTCTGTCTCATTTAGAGACATCACCTGGAATGTTGAATGCAAATAAATTTAAAAGCTGATAGTTTCATTTAGAAATATTAGAACAAGCCACATAGCTGATTGTAGAACTGTCTTTATGTAAAGTTTCTACAATATTAGTCAAATTGGTCTGCTTAAGCTTATATTGTCTTTTCTTCTGAAAAATAAACAGTTTTAAAAAATAAACGGTACTGCCCTTTGCCAACAGCAGATGGCAATTATTCAGAAAAGTCTTTGCATTTGGATTGTCTATAAAGTTTGACACAATACTTGAATAGTCGAATAGGAAATAGGATTTTTATGACAGCAATTTATGTTCAGGATTCATAGAGTATGTTTATTTAAAAGAAGTTGAAGAGAACAAGAAACTGCTTAGCATGGTGAAATATGCATGTGTTATATACTGTGTCTTAACGACTGTCTTTTCTTTCCTCTTACAGTTTGATAATGTATGGTTTTGTGAAGGCCATGGTACACATTGGCCAGTTAAAAGCATGGGAATTCCACTTCACTGACTGTTTATTTTTTGGATCACTGATGTCTGCCACAGATCCAGGTAACAATTTAAAATAACTTTTTTTTTTTTTTCAAAAATCAGAAGAGTAAATAAAAATATAATGTCTGTATGTGCCATAAAAATGTTGAGTGTCTGTTCTCAGTTTTGATTCTCATCCCTTTAAATGTCTTATATTCTGATTATTGTAAATCAAATTGCCTCCAGAGATCCCCTGTGTAAGATTTACCTGTGTTAATCTTACAAACTTTACAAATGAAGTTGCTGAAGAGATTGGAATAATGTTCTCCAGTCTCAGGGACACCTGACTGTTTATTGCTAATATGAGAATTTCTGTACGCCTTAAACTTTATGGTTAATTAACGAAGACATTACCAGAAACAGAAAATCCTGAGTTAGAAGGGACCCAAAAGGATCATCGAGCCTGCCACTCTGCTCCCCTCATGAGGAGGCTGCAGGCTGCCATGAGGTCTCCCCTCAGTCTCCTCTGAGCTGAACAAACCAAGTGACTTCAGACACTCCTCAGACGTCTTCCGCTCTAGACCCTTCACCATCTTTGTTACCCTCATTCATATGCCCTCTAACATTTCTATATCCTTCTTAATACTGTGGTGCCCAAAACTGCACACAGGCCACACCTGTGCAGAGCAGATCAGGTCACTTCCCTCAACCATCCAGCCATGCTGTGCCAAATGCATCTCAGGCTATGGTTGGCCCTTTCGGCTGCCAGGGCACACTGCTGGCTTATATTCAATTTGCAATCAACCAGGATCCGCAAATCCTTTCTCTTGTCCTCCAGCCTGAATGTGTATTCAGGACTGCCACACCCCAGGCACACTTGCTCTTTTTAAATTTCATACAGATGGTGAGTGCCCAACCCTCTAGTTTGTCAAGATCTCTACCTTTTGCAAAAGTTTGCAAAGCCTCTCTACCCCTGAGGGTGTCAACAGCTCCTCCTAATTTAGTATCATCTACAAACTTACTTAGTATGTATTTGAGTCCTGCATCCAGATCACTTATAAAATGTGTGATCTAACCTAGTTTAAAGATAAGGGGAACTAACTTTCAGATATGGCCATATAAATACAGTTTATAAGGTATCAATTTAGAATTTGAATGCACTGTTACATGGTTAATACAATTATGAAAAGATCGGTACCAATATGTTGACCAGAACTTGCAGATGTGAGGTTTAAAGCCTACAGTTACAGTAAATACCCAAGTGTGGGAGAAACAGATTCAGTGGAATTCCAAGTCATAGAGTTACAGGATCGTGTATATCAGAAGGGACCTCTGGAGTATTTCCTATCCAACCTAATAATTAAAACAGGGCTAACCTCAAAGTTATTCACAGACTTAGCAAAATTTTGTTACACTGACTATGTTCATAGTAAGACTACTCTGGTATCAAAATATTGGTTTTGCATCTATGGAAAAACTGTGAAGGAGGAAGTGAAAAGAGAATTTATTGATATTCTAACTACAATATCATGCAAAAACAAAGTGAAGAATATGGAAAGGTACACTGGATTTTTGCAAAATTTTCAGTGGAGCGGTTACAGGAAAAAGAACAAAAAGCATTTCACGATGCACATGACGTGCTGTGTTAGTGCTAATACCCCTGACAAGCTTCTCTGAGAAACATATGAAAAAGTCTTTCAAAATCTTGGCTATTAAAAAAAGTGACAAAAAGCAACATTGTTCCACAAATTTGTTCCATTCTTTAAATGAAACCTCAATATTTAACAAAAGACTATGAGAGCTTGTGATTTATCATTCTGATGGCTTAAAAATATGGTGTAAAACAATTTATTTCAACAAAACCTGTTGTTACAAGATTTCTGTAAAAGCTGTCTCAAATTGTTATTCTCAAATTAAGCTAAGCATCCAGTATTCTGCCACTTATAAAGTCCCTCAACTACTTTAATAAGGTTCATCACATGATCAGAACAAGAGAACAACACAGAAACTAAAAGCAGAAATTACACATAAGAAAAATAATTGCTTATGGAATAAAAAGTTGCTTAAAGCTTCCAAGTACTTTTCTTGATTGTGCTATGAATAGTTTTGTAGTTGGCTTTGTTTCTTTTCCCATTTTCCATTCCATTACTATTTTGTTCCACAAATGAAAATGTTGATTTACAAGGGGATATACATACACGTATAAGACAAACACAGTGATTTTGATTACAATAGTGTTAAATCACCACTGAATAATCTGGCAAAGCTCAGGGGGAGGGGAGGGTGAACTTCCTCTTCCACTGGAAGGAATAAGAAGTCACAAGGATTACTTTACCCAGAATTTTTAATAGGCTTAAACAGCTAATACTGCAGTTCTGAATACTTTTAGTGGGACAAACTGTCATCTATTAATGCTCTTGGTAATTACTCTTCTGCTTATATAGAGTCTCTGTGTGTGTCCAAGGTTTGTTTGAATGTTCAATCTTGCTCCATCTGTTATCTAAGCTGTTAGATGTTTTACTGATCTAATCTAATTTCAGTCCCCCAAAAGATGAGAGAATTTTACATGAAATTTTTGCTTAATTTAATGGTAGACATTGCTGAAAATATTTCACTCTCCTGTAGGATTTGCTAGTGAATTACAATCTCAAGCCATGCGAAGAGCTCATAGGAATTCCAAAATCAGAGAAAACACAATCCTCTAAAGGATTGATAGATCATATGAAGCATATAGCATAATCAGTTTTATATGTGATTTTACATTTGATATCTAGCTTTAAAAAAGAGAAATCTCTGGTGAAATGTTGTTGGTGTTGTAGAATAGAATAATAAATTACTGTCCTAGTATGAAATAAGAAATTCTTGTCAGATATGCTACTTGATTTTTCATTTATTTTTTCACTGTGTAGACACATTCACTGAATAGACACATTCCAAAACCAGTTTTAATTTCCCTTGGTTATGAAAAGCAATTAAGTCTCAAAAGATGTTAAAAACCGATCTGTTGACTCAACGGAAGTTGTTTTGACTGAGTTCCTTATTTGTAATAATAAAGATGACTTGTAGATGTTTACATGTTAAATGAATAATTTTACTACAAGGGCAGTAAATAAATACGTGCCATTTAGAAGTTCCTTATATTGTTAGGAAAAAGGAAATAACAGCATAGCACTCTCTAGGTGAGCATTTAAAGATCTTCATATAGAGATTTTGGCATAAAACTAATTCAGAAAATTTTCAACAATATTCCATAGGTTCCCTTCTATAGAAAATTGCATTTGAACTAAAATTTAGAAGTTAAATTACGATTGGTTATACTTGGGACTGTGTTTGAGATTCCTTTATCTACTTTCCAATAAAGATGAATTATCACAAGCTGATACAGAAACCATTATTACACCGAATGTTGAACTAAAAAGAAAAATTAAAAAGAGAAAATCCTTTGAGTGTTACAGTTTACGAATCTTAGCTCCCTAAAATATTTAGTTATGTTTCTACATTTTGCATTATAGAAGCTCTTGGATCTCCAGTAAAAATAAATAAATAAATAAATAAAATAAAAATAAAATAAAATAAAAATAAAATAAAATAAAATAAAATAAAAATAAAATAAACTTTATGGGAAAGACAGATTGTTTTCAAGTGAATCAATCAATTTACAGGAAATATATCTTTCCAATAATTTATTCATTATTGAACAGAAAAAGTTTCTCATTTCAAGACTTCAGGTGAGAAGTTTAATTTTTAAGAAGTAATATTTTAAAACATCATCAAATTCTCCCTTAATTAGTGTTTGATTTTAAGCATCAGATCAGTATCTTTCAATCTGATCAACCGATACCATTTATCATGTTTTTTGGGAAATCATCTCTTCTCATTAGTTAATCTATGTAAAACAGCACAGACTTGTTTCACTGTTTTCACTGTTGAAAGCGTTTCCCTTGTATTAGTACTGCATTTTGATTTCTAATGTAACCTAACTCTGGAGGCTGGAAGTTTTTTTTGGGTGATGCAAAAAGGAAGGAGCCTTTTCATGCCTTTGTTCTGGTGCACATGTCAAGAGCACCAAAGAGGCTGTGGAAAAGGGGCTGGAATGGAGAGTAGAGCCCTAACTCTAGGTCCCTAGAGACCTGCAAAATGAAACTGCCTCAAGTGTGGGCATGGATAAGGATATCTGGCATCAACTGTCTTGTGTGGCTGAAAGGCAGACACAACAATAAGTCCCAGGAACAGGCTGCTTCAGGGTACCAGTAGTTTTAATGGAATCATGTGAATGACAGAACAAAACTGACACATGAACTAAAAGATTTGACCTCTGCCTTAGCCACCAAAAAATAACTGGAAAGTATAGCTTTGGCAGTTTGTTGTAGCTGTTATTAACACATTTTGTGCAATGACCTTCCAATCCAGAGAAATTTCATGTATCTTTAGCACTTCTTATTTTTTTAACTTTTGACCTTTCAAGCATAGAAAACAGATTTACCTTCACAAGGTTTGCTGAAGCACAGCTATTTCTGAGCTACATGAACTCCCTTACCTTTGGTCATACTGATAATCACAAGGCTCTTTTCTATTTGAAGTTACTATAGTTACAGCTGAGCCTAAGATGTGAGTTGCACTGCTGCTGTTATTGATAAAACTGGATATTTATCAGAAAGAACAGTTCCCGTTTCTCATAAAAATCAGAGGATTTTGCATTAAAAAGCACAGTTTATAAATACAGCAGAGTAATACATTTTTGCACTGGTTCTATAGGCCTGTTTATAAGCATGTTTTTAATTAAAATATTTTTGCTTTCTCCTTATACACCCCTGACCTACTCTGTGAGTAGTGTTTATTAGGGAAAGGAGTCTATAATTAAAATTGGAATTGTTATTTTTAAAGAAAAATTGATGGAAAACATAAGTGAGACTTCTCTCATCTGATTTTCTTTCCATTTGATAATGAACTCCTAAGAGCCCATGAGTTAGAAAAGATATTAATTGTTCTAGTCAGAAGATTAAGATAAGATAAAACCCGTACTTTATATAATGGTTGCATTTATTTTCTGAGTTTCCTTGTTCTTTTCAAACACAACAGCAAAGAAGTATTGGATACAGTTAGCTTACGGATTGTTGAAGTTTGCTGAAGTTATACATTTTCAATTATCCTTTTTACAGCAATTATCCTTTTTACAGCAATTAAGTCCATTTTTTTTCTATATATTGCAAAAGATATCTTTCACAGACCAGCTCCATAGACACCAGTTCTGACTTGGATACAATCAAAATCATGCTAGGCTTAGAATCTAACAGATGTTCCCTCAGTCCATGAAGTCAAGGAAGAAGAATTATTATTATTATTATTATTATTTCTATTTTGGGGAGTTTTCTACTGCCACAAAAATATGTTTGTTTGCTGTCCCCAAATTACCAACTGTTTAGTTCTTTACCTGTCTCTATCTCTGTCCTCATATGCTTAGATTGAAATAAGAGCTTTAGAGTCACTGTGTAGTTTAGGGAAATGTAGTTTAGTATTTTTTTAATCCATGTTATCATACTGTATCTAAATGAATTATACAAGACTTTAAGAAGTTTACCACACAAAAATCAAGTCCTACCTACTTTGCCTTAAGAAAGCTAGGGAGGCCATACTGCAATGTAGTATCTAAAGACTATACACTTTACTTAAATACAAATCTTCTCACAGATCAGATGTCACAGATTACTGTGATATATGATGGCAAATGCTGAATCTTTAAATTTGTTCTCTTTTAAAGTCGTCCATCAGACAAAACATAGTGTGACTATTTTGGACAACTATGATTATTCACAAAGTATTTTTCTATCTGGAGAGTAATTTAATTTTTTTTTCCCTTAGTTTAGTGTCATGTCCTTTTTAATGTGCCTATTCGTACATGTATCCATAGATTCTCATAAGCAATAAAAGCAAATGTGATCTTGAATAAATGGCTATATGCTTTTGGCAAAACAATGCAAATGTTTTACTGAATTCTTAAATGGTACGGATGTGCTAGAGGTTCTGCTGCTCTCTGTTCTTGTGCAGATACCATTTAACATTTTCATTAATGAGTTGGCTAAGGCAATAGAGGATGCTTCTTTAACATATAATAATATGCTGAGAAGAGATAGCAAGCACTTTGAAAAACAGGATTAGAACTCAACTTAATCCTTGCAATAGTTTAAAATCAACAAGGATAAGTGCTACAGTTAGGAATAGTCATCTTAATAGATAGAAGCTAAGAAAATGCCATTTACTGCTGAAAAGGATTTCAAGTTTACAACCTGAAAATGAGTCATGAGGACTAATACGGGTGGGGAGGGGGAAAGGAAAACAGTTTCAGTTTCATAAACATATATTCTACCGCATCATTTCACTCTATTTCTTGACAGCAAGCATCAGCTACAGTAACTGGATAGGGTTATGAGCACTGTATTTCAAGAAAGATACCATCTGATTAGAAAAAGTTTAGTGAAAATTAGCTAGTAATTAAAGGGATAGAAAATATTTTTGAAAAGAGAAGATTGGAAGAAGCAAGTCAGTTTAGAGAGGATATATCTGAAATGAATCTTTGAATAGGAAAAATGTTGCTGAAGGAAAGAAAAAGTCAACAAATATGCCAAATTATTTCTGTCTCATTAGGTTAGGAATGGAAATTACAGACTTGAAGAGTAGGAAGGGAAATACAGGTTAGACGTTCAGGAATAATTGCATTTATAAACTGAAGAGTGGATTAGTTTCCCTGGGATTTGTGAAACCACAAACACTTCAGTTCTTTAAAAATAGATCAGATAAATATGTGTCATCAGTGATGACACATATCACTGATCGCTTACAGTGTCTGGGGGGGGGGGGGGGGGGGGGGAGGAGGGGTGTGGAGGGAAGGGGGTAAGGACAGAGTGGATACTGGTAGTGGTCTTCCTCCAGAGACCACGATTCTTCATCAAGCAACAGAAAATGTTGTAACCTCCAATGGGAGTGGGAGAGACATATGACATGGAAGATACTTCCCGAGAAGTGGGTGAACTAGGGTGTCTTTCACAGAGGAGGCAAGTGGTGCATTATTGTGTTGCTTGCTTTATTATTTTACTTTCATTCGAAAAGATCTGGAACCAGATTTGGGGAATAGAGTTCAGAGTGTAAGAGAATATGTTTGTTACATAAAAGAAAAGGTGTTGTTTTTGTAGGAGGCAAGAGGATGGACAGGAATGTGTAGGTATCTGTCTAATTAGCTTTGTCTACTCAAATACCAACAGTATCTTGGACTTTGATTACTATACTGTTTCCCTTCTATCATTTGTGGAGGGAGTATTAGTGCAAGCCCAAAGTAATATGCTAATAAGCAAAAGCTGGAAGTGGCAAAGAGTTTTAGAAAACTGGTCTGTTGTTATGCCATCAAAGAATGGGAGACTAAAATGGGTGCACATTTAGCACATTTAGGCAGCACTGCCTAATCAAGAAAAAAAAATACATAGAGAGATATTCATAGAATCATAGAATATCCCAAGTTGGAAGGGACCCACAAGGATAATCAAGTCCAACTCCTGGCTCCACACAGGACTACTTAAAAATTAAACCATATATCTGAAGAGCATTGCCTAAATGTTTCTTGAACTCCAGCAGGCTTGGTGCTGTTACCATTTCCCTGGGAGCCTGTCCCAGTGCCCGACCACGCTCTGGGTGAAGAACGTTTCCCTAACCCCCAGCCTGACCCTCCCTTGTCCCACCTCCATGCCATTACCTCGGGTCCTGTCACTGTCCCCAGAGAGCAGAGCTCAGCGCCTGCCCCTCTACTCTCCTTGTGAGGGAGCTGCAGGCTGCCATGAGGCCTTCACTCAGCCTGCTCTGCTCGGGGCTGAACAAACCAAGGGACTTCAGACACTCATACATCTTCCCCTCTAGACCCTTTGCCATCTTTGTTGCCTTCCTTTATATGTCCTCTAATTTTTATGTCGTTCTTATATTGTGGTGCCCAGAACTGTACCTAGTACTGGAAATGAGGCCGCACCAGCAGAGTATTGGTGAACCAAGAAAATATCCTTGCCGATAAAGATTATTCCTACACCTTTGAGCTGTTCTGAGGAAATAACTCTTTTCCTGATTTAACTTATAATCATAGTGGGTCTAGATTGGTGAGTTTATCAGGATGGTAAAATAAACTAGTTTATTTAAATATAGCTATATCATCAAATGTTTATTCACACACTTTTCCTAAATTGCCTTCTGTGGAATAACACTTCCAGAATTCTTCAAAGATAACACATCAGCAGAGATCACTGTGACATAAAATCCCACAGGGGAACTGACAATCTGTTTTAGGTTTGTACATTTATATATATACATATATAAATATATATATATATATATAGATTTAGATTACTTAGATATTTAAGCACCTTTCAGAAAATCTTATCAGCAATGATTTCAAATTTCCAATAAATTTGATTAAGACAGAATATAATCAGCTGTTCATGTATTTGTAAGTTATCAGCAGTCATCTCAACATGAAAGTGTATAATTTCCATTTCTGAAAGGTCAGGTGTTAACACAGCATCCTGAAGGCACTCCTAATATTTTAGATTTGTAGGCTATAAGGACTGAATCAATTGCACAATTACTTACTAGAATGAGCACCAGTGAAGCAGTGAGTTACCATGTAATTTTCAACCATACAAATATTTGGAGGCATTTACATTAAATGATGTGTGAAAAGTGAAAGTTCTGCTTCCTCCATGCAAGGAGAGAATACTAGTATCAACAAAGAACATGGATAGCTTTTTTCATTTAGAGATTATGAAATGCTAGGAAGGTCTAGGAAAGGATTGTGTACAGGTTAGGAAACTGAGGTCCTTTAAAATCCTAAGTATGGTACAGGTATCTACATGCCCTTGAGGACGTGTGTCTAAATGATTTAGCCAACAAGTTGAAATCTGACACAAACTAAATTTTTTCTGCTGCACTGGCAAGGTAAAAGTCAGATATAGCATACCACTTGGGGAGTAGGAAGGGACTTAAATCAATGAAGGAACACTGAAGGAACCTTAAAATGGGTTGCAAATATCAGTTGTCCTGATCTGCATGAGAGAGCTTCATGACTACAGATGTGCTGCACTTGAGGTGAAAGTGGTTTTGTTGTTGGTAGGACAGGGTACAAGGTTATTTGAGTGTTCCTCAATAAAAACACATTACAGATGGATAAACATAATTATACCTTCTTAAAACAGGTAAACCACTACTTTCATCACCCACAGAGCCCATAGCAAACCCAACGCTTTTCAGCACCCTTATTACTCCTTGGTGACAAGATCCAAGTCCTTTGTGTACAGTGAAATATACTGTGACATTTTCATGTATGCATAATTCTGTGTGTAAGAGGGAAATCTTTTTTCTAACTAGCTGAAGCAACAAAACACATAGACTTGCTGGATTTTAGTATCTTATATACTTCAGTTAACCCCTGTTATTAGCCACTTGGGTAGTAAATCAGATTAGACTTTTCAAAGCCCACACCCTAACATTGCTTTATTTCTTGAACTGCCAGAGGAATATGAAAATAACAAATTCACTGTTTTGTCTCCATACAGTGACAGTCCTTGCTATTTTCCATGAGCTGCATGTGGACACAGATTTATACACGCTACTGTTTGGAGAGAGTGTTCTAAATGATGCTGTGGCTATTGTGCTGACATAGTAAGTACAGCCACTTTGATTCTTTACTTGGTGAGGTAATTCCAAGCATAAATTGCTGATATCGTTCACAAATCATATTGTGTGTCCAAGTATAGATAAAGCATTTTAAGTTTTCATCACAGAGATGTCGTTTTGGAGTTGTTATTGGTTTGTTAAATAAAATAATTCCAGTATTATTAATAGCAACTGAGTATCCAAAATGCAACTTTCATTCATTTTCTTCAGCCTAGAAAGCAGTATATTCTGTAAAATGTGCATATTTAATTTAACGTGAATTCTTTTCTCAACAACATATATTGAAAAAATAAAGCTGATTGGGGACCTAGGACATAGGGCTACTGTAAAAATGGAGTCAGAACTTTTGAAATAGAAGATATATTTTATTCTACTTTTTGCAATCTATTGTTTTCCACAGTTAAAACCACAAAGTGGTACACTGTAGCCCAGCTTATCTCTTTCTGCCTATTAAATCTGACAGAGTTTCAGCTGGCAATATTATCTTAAATTTATATAAAGCCTTTTTACTCTCAGGAATCCTCAAACATATAATGGGTAAAAATCATGTCCTGTCCTAAAAAGAGAGATGCTAAGTACACGATTAACAGGATCTCAAGTTAACTCAATCAAGTTAAGACAATCTTAAAAGTAACATAACTTTGCAAAATCATTTTCTGGGATGCTTGAAGTGCTTCACATTAAGCCTCAGTTCACTGCCACCTTTTTCGTTAAAATACAGATCCTTGAACTAGGATTTCTGCTATTCTTGGAAAAATAAATAAATAAATAAAGATTTTTACGAAGGTTAGTCATTAAAAAATGACTTCACATGTTGTCTGAAACAATTATAATAGTTGAATTTAAAAAAAAAAAAGTGTCAAGATACTAAAAATAGTAATCCTATTTAATTTATTATATTCCAGTTATCAGTCTAGTTATGTTCACCTACACTAAAATCCTTGCATTGTTTTTAGAGCAAGAATGATATTCTCAAATGCTGAATTGTCTGAGCATATCTGGGTTGGAATGTGCCACTTAGCAGAGCATCTAGTATGTCAGACAATAAAATGCACAAAAGGAAAACTAAGCAAGGAATGGCAACCTCGGTAGAGGGAACAGATAGAAAAGCATCCATTAAGGCAGCTTTAAAAATTGGAAAGAAGCTTGTAGGTGACAAAAATACTGAAATTTTCTTCTCTGTTTCATTTGGCATTGTTTAATAGAGACCTAGACATTTACAGCTCATTTAGACTCTTCATTTGTTAGAGCCAGATTCCTATAGGCTGTGTAACAATTATGCTACATGCAGCACAGAGACACTCAGAATGTTTTAAGTGTCTGTAGTTTTCAGTCACTGTGATGTCAAAGTACATGGATCTCTTCAAAAGTGAAACTCAACTGCAAAGTAAATCTAGGAAGATAAGTACTATCAGATAGCACCTGATTCATGAGTTTCTAGCATCTGTTCAGGTTCCCTGTACTCAGGTCTAGGTTAGGATCCTCAGCCTGTACATGGATAAAAAAATCAACTAGAATGGTGCCTGACACTAATGCTGGCTATCTCCTTTTGTTTTCTTAGCTATACATGGTACATTACAAACTTTCTTTACTATAGAATCTCTTGTCCCTGTAAAATTAGTGTATTGTTCTGTATACCCAGTGTGAGTAATAATACATCGATTACTCTAATAGATTTAGTCATTTGCAGAGAATGAAGAGAATATATCATCAGTTTCACATTTCATTAATTTCTGGCTTAAATAATCAGCTTCTGCACAAAGGAAATGTTTCTGCAACTTAAAACGATCTTCCTTTCTGTACCTTTGTAAGTAAAGCTATACTGTTAATAGTGTCAGCTTCAATGTGTTAACAATCCAGTAAACCAAAATGAATTTAAATGAAGAATATTATTTTTCTGTCACTATGAAAGAACAGCTAGGGTTTTTGTTTTGGTTTGGTTTGGTTTGTTTTTTTTTTTCTCTGTAACATATACACCTTTTCAGGATGGTGCAAACACAGCATGTTCATAATTATAGTAATAGGGGACTATTTAAAAAGGTGTGAGAATAATGTTTACAAATACAGAAAAGCAATAACAAGTCATTTTGTACACTTTGTAACGGTAAATAGAAGACTGAAAAAGAGAATACACAGTGTTTCATCAGCTCACAAAATAACCAAGTTAATGTCTGCAGGAATGACTCATTACAGGAAAGGAAGAGAAAAGAGGGAAGCCTCTTATGGTTAGCTGTGATGATTTGGCAAGGTGAAGGTAGCAGTATGGCTATCTGCCAACAAGGCTTTATACTAATGCCTATCTTTTCCTCCAGCTTCTCCCTCCAACATTTTTACTGCACTGTGTATCATTTAGTTAAGAAGGACAGCAATCAGACCAGTTACCCTATATTTCACATTTTAAACATTCAGAATTAGTCATTTTAAAGCCCGTTTATATCAAGGATTCATGGTATTTAAGAAAAATGATAACAGAGCTACAAGAGAATACTCATTAGCTGACTAAACATGCCTGCTTTTATGTGGAAAAAGCTATATGAATAATTATGCCATGAATATTTACTATGTACTTTGTTCTCCAGGAAATGGACTTGTCACCCGTGTACTCATTCTCTGTCTATTTACAGCCTAACCAGTATCTCTAGAAGTAGTTTATATGTGCCTAAATTAAAACAAACAAACAAGGAATACATAGGAAAATAGATATTTGAGCTTCTTTTGGGTGTTTATACATGCTATACATAGTCTTTGTGATTAGAGAGTGAAACCACTTTGTGATTAGAATAGTGTAACATCCCTATTTGGAATCTGATTTTAAACAACAGATTGCAGCAACCTTTTATGAAAGCCATAGGATGAAACATTCAAGGTGATATATTTCATTAATGAATTCCAGACTGAGGAATATTTATCATTACAGAAAAATGTATATAGCACTTTATAGACAAATACAATGAACAAAGAAGTGTGTGCACTTGGTAACTTACTAGCTGCGGACTGCATTCTAAAGATCATAACTGAGAAACATCCCAGTAACCAGTAAATTCAGAATTGTGTGTGACGAAGACTGTTGAATCTGGTTGAAAATTAATAATTTATGAATATTTTTCAGCAAATCTTGAAGATTGACCTCTTACTTCTCTTTTATTCCGTTTTCATTGTTCTCTCTATGTACGATATAAAACTTGTTGAAGCAAACATTTGCATATATTTTGAGCGTACATGCTGTAGTTTTGGACTTCACATAGTTTTTGCATATTTGCAGAGGAATTTGTGTAAGAAAGTGTGGAAGAAGTTGTAAAAATAGCACTGAATATCTTGAGATATGACAGAAAAGTGGCTGAACAGGTCATTATCATCAAGATAGTATATTTAGCAGAGCTATTTAATCTTTCTCATGCTGAGTGCTCTCTGAGTGCAGGATGTGGAAAGCAGTAATGAATACTGATACATGTTCCCTGCTAACAAATTATCTTAGAGAACATTGCACAAGAAATGTTTCCATTGTAGTCAGTGTGAGAAGTGTTTGTAATATCATTATGCAAAAGAGGTGACTCTGTTTCTCCACTGGCTTTTGTACTCCAGTATTGGCTCAGTTTGCCTGAGTTTCATCTCCTTCCTAGAAGATGTGATAGTGTGGAAGTCACACTGGCAGCAAGCATGTTAGCTAGTATGTATAAAAAGTCTACGATCAACATATGGTATTGTCTTTCATATGTAATCATCAGAAGTGAGTGGCAGCTAGGGGACATGGGACATATGACATTTGGACATGGATTTATTAGTTCCAACAAGAAATTGATTTATTATTTCCCATCCCTCTGTTATATGCAATCAAGAACAGTTTGATATGTGAGTGAAGTGGAAATCCTGGAGATAAAAAGTGTAGAGGAAGATCACATAGCAGAGAAACCAGAGAACATGGATTCTAGCTGACATAGGAAATGAAGTCCTACCTTTTCAGAATGCTAATTGCCCTAGAAAGCTGCAAAGTTTGGATATTTCTGTGCAGAGAGGAACAAACTGTAAACATAGTTTTCTTATAAAGTTTGGCTTGTTGTTTTTAAGTACCTTAAATGGTATGTAAAGGAAGAGATGATGACCTTGGAGGTTCTGTAGAAGAAGGTGAAGAGGAACATAACTGAAAAATACTGAGTTGGTTCAAGTTGGATATCCTGCCTCTTTTGTAATGTATCAACAGGTTGGATGCATTTCATAAAGTTCACTCATGCTTATTGACGAACATTAGGCTATGGAAGGCTTGGATTTTGACATAGTCAAGATGTAAGGATCCTTTTGCAAAAATCTAGAACCAGGACTAAAAAGCTAAATTCTTGGAGCAGTAGGATCTGGAAGGGTAAAAGGTCCTGTTGTTGTATGTTTCAGGAATTCAGTGAGCCTCTATTGGACAGATAAAATGGCACGAATGTGCAACATTCCTTTTGTTTTCTTTTGGAAAATCTATGCTAGTAAAAAGGTGCTGCAACCCATTCTATAAAATAAACTTCTCTGTGTTGGTTCAAAGATTTTCCAAGCAGTTTACTATGATGAAGAAATTTCATTTCCCAGCATTGTTGGAATACGATTTTTCTCTAAAAACAGATACATTTCAAGTCCTTTTTTCATGATCCAGCTACAGCACATGACACCATATCTGTGCTTGATAAATTAACTGTCCTTAGAATCCAAAATCCTTTATAATAGTTTTAAAGACTTGAAATTTAAAACAAATAATTTGGAAGCAGCCTATTTAATCTTGCTTTTGTCTTTCCTTCTTCAAAATAAATATCAGAGTTTATCCACTAGAATAGAATAAAGCATAAAGGAGGCATTTCGATTATTCAGTCTGTTTATGGGTTAGTATTGAGGGGAAAGGGGGTAGTATTGCAGGGCTTAGTATTGAGGTGAAAGGGAGCAGGGCAAATGAATAATGATCAGCATTACTATGCCCAGTAGGGAAATCTTTTATAAAAGTAGTTTCATGGCTC